ACCTAGTTACGGTTTACAGTTGGATCTAATAGTTATTCGTAATAGAATAAAATAATAGAAATAATTACATAAAATATTCCTCAATTTCACATGTCCTATTCATGTGTGGACTATTATTTTCGCGATTATAAGCCTCATCCGATCAACCTTGTAATTTTTATTTTGCGTATGCTATCATTAGTCAGCAATTTGTGATATCGTATACGACAAAAGCTGAACTCATCTTATGATATAACGTGTCCATAGTAAAACCAGTTTAACCGATGCTCCGAAGTTGAAAGCTATCGAACGCGTGATATTTGTGTTATTATAGTTCCCCGGCGGAAGGTTTCTTAGGTTTTTTCTTTAATTTATATTGAAAGTAAATTGAATTGATAATGGCATACACAACGTATCGGTGCTGACGTGGTTGTCTCCGCCCACTAGTGCAATACTGAATCATTTTGTTATATTGTTTTGATAATTTTCACGAAAGCTAAAGTTATTGTTTGCTTCAGCCTTGCGTGTGGCATGAGCGCTCTATTACGTCGTTGTGGTTGCAAAATATGTGGCAAGAAACCGATAATTTTTAGTGGTGTCGGCAAGTATATATATAATATTACATGCAGTTAATGAATCGAAATGTTTTTTTTTAAATTTTGTAATTTCACCAAAAAAGTATCGGATATTTGAATAATCGTGACCATTGACCATATGAGCCGGCAACTCGATTTATTTTATTTAAAACGAGTATAAAAATACTGTTTGAAGGTAGTTATTAGTGTATGGTAGAACATTTTACAAATCTGTGCTTAAATTCGAAATAAGAACAGCAAAAATGTACGACTACTTTAGTTGGACAAAAGTAAAACTTGAAACCTTACTCGACTGAGAATAACATCAGGGTGATACGAGCAGGGCATGACTTCCGATAAACTTGCATAAAGAGTAAGCATTTCTGGTATATTTAATCGTTAAAAGATTTGAATTAAGTACGAATGGCACGATACCATATTTATAACATAGTGAGATGTGTGGTCGTTGACCCGTCGTAGGATGGCAATGAGCGCGGTGTCGTCTGGTTGTGAGCATAATGCAGTGGTTAGTAGAGTGGAACTGAGCGCTCGCTTCATACATTGAGCAAATGGCCATGGGTTCATATAATAGTAGACCCCATGCCTACACTCCCAATACTGTCAAATCATTTGTTCTTTTGAATTGATTTGAAATTTAATTTTCCTCCACACTTGTCTATGCGTATTATGATTTAGAAACTTAGATACTATATGTATTAACTTCATACATTTAATTAAAAATAACATAAATTTCAACGATTTTAATTATATAAATCCACAAAATCGTCACATAATAAAGTTTAAATACCTTGGGCACGTCCTACTCCCCGACCTCAAAGATAATGGCGATATAGAGAGAGAACGAAGAGCGTTGTCGGTGAGAGTAAATATGCTGGCCCGTAGGTTTGTACGTTGTTCTCATGACGTAAAAGTCACATTATTCAGAGCATATTGCACTAAATTCTACACGTGCAGCCTATGGGCCAGTTTCACTCGACAAACATACAACTCGCTTCGGGTGCAGTATAATAACGCATTTAGGGTGTTGCTGGGGTTGCCTCGCTTCTGCAGGGCATCAGGAATGTTCGCAGAGGCGCGGGTGGATTGCTTTTTTGCCACTATGCGAAAGCGGTGAGCATCTTTAGTGCGCCGGGTGCGGGGCAGCTCCAGCAACATCTTACGGATGATAGTCGAGAGAATGGAGTGCCCCTATTTACGACACTGCTCCGACATCTCCGCAGGGCTTTGTACCTGATAGTTTTTTTTTCTTCTTATTTTTACTAATTCTACTAACATAGATCTTAAGAAACTATTGTTACTAACTTAATAATCAATCAATGGACATCTGTCTGATTAATAAAAATTATTATTATTATTATTATAATGACCATGCTAAAATACAGCTTCAAAATAAAATGCCAGTTTGGTATTTCAATTACCGTTGAAATATTGTAAGGGTGTAATCAAAGAACGTAGGTCGATTTTTAATCTGTGTAAGCGTATAAGAATATAATTATGAACGTTTTTTGTTATTATCGTTTAGTAATTAGATTCGTACACGTCCGAGTATGTATCATAATGTAATAATGTATATTTTGGATACCGTACTTACCGAATTGATAATACCTTTCGATGTAAACGTTAAGTATTTTTTTTGAAATTATAATATTAATAAACCGTTATCAATTATAATAAGTCAATATGAGTCTAGTATAAGCCTAAAATTCTCAACTCGCCATTTCATTCATTCGTATATTTACGATTGCACGAGGACTGAGGAGTACATCACTTCCACATCTTACCTTGTCTGTTGTTTAAAAGTATGCCATATTTGTTTAGCTTTTAAATTAATTCAGAATAAATGGAATGTGCGTTTTAAATTAACTTGCTACTATTAATTAAATTTTTTTTAACAACATTCGGCGTACAGTTGCCTTCCCTTTGAAAGTCCTAATAGGGTTAGCTAATTGCTTAGGCTAGCCAATTGCGGACTCTGATTTAGTTCGGGTAATGTATATCTAACGGTCATGTAACCATCAATAATATTATACATATATGCAATGTAGGATAAATTGAGTCCCATCGCGTATTGTGTAGTTATCGCAAGATAATCGCTTCAATTGTCTCGTTTAAAGGACTGTTGAATGTGCACTAATTTTGTCAGAAAAAGTTAAACGTGGCTTCGGTGTATTTTAACTTACATGTATTGTATCTTTCTTCAGGTAAAGTATTGAAGATATGTGAATGATGAAGTAGGTACTTTAGAAATGAATATATCCTACGCATCATTTATTAATACCTTTTGAACAGTGTCCTGTATTTCGAAATCAAATATTCTTTGTATTTCTTGTAAGACACGTTAATGTATCGAAAGCGCCAAGTAGAATAAAAGTTAATGCTTATTACATATAATATAAAAAGGGATTTTTGTTTCAGATGACAGTAGCAGGCCTAGAGTGAAATCGGAATATGAGGTTAGAAAACTATTTAAAACTATTACTAAGCAACACTCCGTTATTACCAACTTAATATATATAGATAATCGCAGCGTAATGTACAGTTGCAGTACTGGTTTAGTCAAAATAAGCCAGAAATGTGTTAGACCTCGCATCACCGTGTTATTTTGAATTTACTCCTAAGGTAGGTAGTTAATACTGATATTTGTGTTTGTACTTTAATGTTGAATATCTTAAGAACAGAAGATACACGTAAAACAATAAAGTGGAGCATTTATTGGTGGGAAGTAATTGGTGCGAAACAATGGAGAACGTCGCAGGAAATATAATGGTAACGGCCGCGGCGGAAGTTGGCGGCTGTTGCTGCGAGAATCACGTTGTGTAACTCACTATAAGCAACAATCTGCGCCTCAGTTACCACTTACGATTGTAGGTTCCTTAAAACTTCGGAGTGGCGTTTGCCGTCTTAGTTTCATTTAAGGTATCTTGTCAAGTAGTTTCTAAGGATAACGATCTGAGTTCAATCGCTCTGTTTGCGGTGAATGAAATTTAAGCCAACCGATTGCAGGACTGGAAACGAGCTCGCGGAATACGGTAGCGGTGGAGTGTTTTCTACGAGGAAATGTTTTTTGTAATAATTTACATCTATTAAGCGCTTCTTGAGCTCTTCGAACAGCGCCGATAGTACGTGGTGTGAGAGTAATGATCATTAACATATGTTTTTGTTAAATTACATTACCTACGTCATTAAAGGCTTATGCTGTTAGCGGAATATTATGATTAGAGTGGTGCACATTGAGACCCCGCTCATAATTCAATAAGCTATCCATCATTAGCTCGACATCAGCCACAGATTGAATCGACTCGTCTTATTAAGGAGTCCCGTTAATGACAACTTAATCATTTAGTGGACATATTTTCAATTTGTGTCTTATTTGAGCAGTGCCTCGTCATTTTAACTAACTGGTATAGGAAAACACAGGAATGAAAGAAAATATGTATTTGAAAACTTCAAGGTGTCAGTGGTTCCGATTATGTTCTTTCAATGAGGCAGCATTTTTTTTAATTCGTCGCCCCGTCTGCAACGGGTAGTAAGAACCTCTGCAATTAAACAAAATATAGTAAACTAGCGACCCGCCCCGGCTTCGCACGGGTGCAATGTAAATTCAAAGTGCTATAGGGAGAACCGCGGCCTCCGACGCGCTATGTATAGGCACGCTCCCGGTACCGCTGCAAACGCTACGTCCCGCAATTTTTAAATGTGTAATCTTTGAAAATATTAATTTAAATCATATGCTGTAAAGGGCCATATAGATATATATTAAATCAACAATGTATTTATTTATTTTAATTGGATAAGGATTAATGCTGTATTGGTTAAAATCGTTTCGAAAATTAGCCATTATTTGTCGTAAAAAGTAAGTGACAAATTTTTTTTATTGTAGGATACCCATAAGAGATAGACATATACCATCGCGGAGTTTTCTGTAGACCTTTTCAATGTGTACAATACTCAATACATTATTTTGATCTCGTAGTGTTCAACCTGCGTTTGCAATGTAAGCGGAAAAAATTTAATTATTTACGACATCACATTAGAAACCTCAAAAATGACAGTATTTCTCCACTATTTAATGGATGTTATTATACATATAAACCTTCCTCTTCAATCACTCTATCTATTTAAAAAACCGCATCAAAGTCCGTTGCGTAGTTTTAAAGTTTTAAGCATACATAGGGACAGAGAAAGCGACTTTGTTTTATACTATGTAGTGATTAGGTATTAAAATAAATGGTATTTCAAAACCAGTCATATCTGTTGCACACGTTTTATTCTAAAAGTAAAATTGGTTATCTCTTTACTATCTCTATGTAATAGTAGCATAATATTCGATAAGCGATGGGCCACGATCCGACGTGACCAATCGGCCGCTACATCGGTGCGCTGATTAGCCGCGTCTCATCTAGCATTTGTCTCGGCGGCTTCACTATGCCAATTTCGGTAATGTCGTAATGCAAATGGAAGAGATCTGTTAGATTTTTAACTGATATTTCACAGTGTATGTGACAGTTTTTCATTTCTATATTATTGGAGCCCGGCTGGGAGTATATGAACCGAATTATACATCTTTTTACGTTTTACATAATTTTATGAATATTCGTACATTAAATGTATGTTTATGAGTAATATAATTAATAAAATATAAGTTGCGTGTTACTAGCGAATGTGCGCCAGCGCATGTGCGGTTACGGTCAAGGCCGAGTGCGTACAAGCCAATGTTCGCCTAGCAATGTAATCGTCAATAATTTAAAGAACTTTTGAGCGTCTTTAAAATAGCTATTGGCTTATAGAAGTTTCGCTTTAGAACATTGCCAAAACCGGTTTAGCACTTCCCGTGAGATTAAGGCCAGTCAATAAAAGTTTATAATTCACTACAAAGTTACAAACATATCTGATTTGTTGGTGGCTAATATAATGGTCAGATTAATTGATAACAATTGTGTTAGAACAGGTTGCTCTTAGGATTGGTAGAAGGTCAGGTGATGCCCGATGCTACTTGTCAGCTGCTGTTATGTTGGCAAAAAGAGATCAAGTTGCCACTCAGCTGCTTCACGACGCGTGCCTCAGTAATGCCCTCTTTTTGTGCGACAGCTGACAACTGGAATGCACCGACTGCCACATACCTGCATACGATTGCAATTACGATGCATACTTGCATAGTTGTTTGCAGACTCCTCGTGTGGTTTTTGGGTCCTTTCATTTCAATGCTTAAACGTCAACATTGTTAAATAGTGAGGTAGTAATTGTTGCCACAGTTATCGGCTGATACAGTTATTTATTTGTATTGCAATGATATTTTTAATGTTATGACGCGGCTGGGCTGCTGGAAAAGGAATTGAAAAGCTTTCAAGTACCAATATATTGTGTCGTTCGGGTAAACTCTCTCTCGTGGAATTTGTGCCGCCCCCGCGCCCCGCCCCTCCGCAATGATCGCAAAATTTTACTCGACTCGATCATATTATAGAAGCACTGTACAGGTTTATATATGTTTTTCGAGATGGCCGACGTCAACAACTGCTCACACAAGTAAATAATTTAGAGGCTTTGTTGAATTTGAAGCTCTTTAGTTTCAGTAAATTTCGAGCACAATGTCAATCATTCCCATCAATTCTATTGCTTATGCCTTATAGGTTAGACTTTATAGTTGCATCGAAGTAAAAATCATCATTGTTTGAAAGTAGTGAACTTATGTGTTAAGTGTAATTTAAAAGTATTTTTGAATAAACGTAACTATTACTTAAGTAATGATCAATCTAAGATGACATCGTTGAAAGGATTTCATATTTGATTTTTATATTTGTTTTTTTTATTGCCGGTGATAACTATCCTTATTATAGTGTATCGTAATATAGCAGTTCGTTTACATATATTAAGTGAGATTGTGGTCGGACCGTTTTAATGTATCTATCTTCTTGTAAGCTCGTTTTACTCACAGCATTTTGTCAACTGACAGTGTTACTTATTAAGAGTAGTATTGCCCTATGACGTGATACGGGACGAGTGCGAGGGTCGAGTTACAGGTTTATACAGATTTGTGTAAATTCAAAGCTAGGTACTCGTTTTTTAGCATTAAACAATGAATCTGTATATGCTTACTTACTTTTACACATATCAACGCTCTGCATTTGTCATGTTATATTTTCTTAATAACTCATTAATAATACGTGTTTTGGTCAATGTAAGTAATCAGCAGTTGGCTGGCCTCGAGCTCTGTGTACTCCTTATTTGGACTCGTGCAATTCTTTTATGTCTTATACTAAAGTAAAAGTTAGAATACTTTTACTTTCGTTTATCGATTGGCGAAAGCTTTTAACCTGGTGATGTTTACTATTGATCTTTCTAATATATCATTGATCAATAGTAAACTTTATACCCATTAAACGATATACCCATTGTAAGCTTTCATCCTTTAGAAGATGTGTTTGAAGATTTTATGTATTCATGCAATATATATTATACAATAGGCAGTGGCCACTTGGAACTTCTATGGGACTTCTACTGTTCCGCGTAGCTTGTAGACATTACGTAGCACTCGTGTAGTGCTCGACTTTCGTGGATAATTCACTTGTTACTTCTTACGATAGAGATTTAAACGACGCGCTGAGACTTGTTCACAAAAGCCGAATCATTTGAATTGACACATGTAACAAATAGCAGAGCCAAAAAAGCGGTTGCGAGCAAAAAAATAAATGAACCCATAGTGGCCATAGATTGCATTTTGTACCGAGCTCCATATACCTACGAGTATAAATTCGGTCATAACATATTGGCTACCGTGGTTATAAGTCAAGAATAACGAAGCTGATTTTATCTTTAATAATTATTGCGTTTCTGTAGCTTTAGCTATAACTTGTCGTAGCAAAAGGTGACTTAGCGTTTGGTTGCGTATCTTAAACAACACAACGGGCTGTATATTTGCATACAATTGAGTGTTATCTGACGCCTCTTGCCTGTCGGTCTCTACTACTAATAGTGAACCTGACGCAGCGCCAAAACCACTTCTTCATACTAAGTAAACTGCGCTTAGAATTTGCGCATATTCTATTATACCTATTACCTATGTTAAATACCATGTGTATGAGTGATGACTGTGACGTGGTACGTTTCAGGTGGTGGTGAGCTTGGGGCTGGTGGTGTACCGCGCTTTGGACCACACGCACGGCGATGACGAGGAGCGACTCATCTCGCCCGACCTCGAGGCGCTCATCTCCGACATGACTCTCTCTAACGGAAACCTTACCGGTAAATATATGCAGCACACATAGGGCTACATTAACATTGACTCAACCCATATCTTTATCAAATAGACAGACCGTTGTCGTGCCTGCTCACTAGCAGGTACAAAAACTAAATGAAAGTACAGGCCCCGCACGTTTGTTACTGCTCACAATGGCGAGGCACCTTACAGCCACCGCTGAACTTTCCCCTCGTTGACCTTTCTCTCTGCTCGCGATCTCTAACAATATCGTGTCAAAATAACAACGCCTACCCCCACTTTTCACATTGGTTAACCGAATACAACATGACCTCTGACATATTATTCCAACGAAAGTTGAAGCGTAGAATAGAGTTATTAATTATATTTCTAGTTTCTTTCTTTTTAAATTTACCACTTGAATCCATGTTTGTTACATGTCAATTAAAGCTCCATTGCTCTAACAACTAACTAGAAAGGAACCGACAATCTCCCATCTCGAGAATCTCCAACCCGTTATTTTCATTACTTTCCGTTATGAAATAAACACGGCTCCACGGAACGGACTTTGAAGTGTATAATGTAGATAATGTTCAAATGGAAAGCTCAATGGGAGGTGGCGCTGGCGCCATACTGCGATGATGATGACCAATAAAGACTTGTAAAGAAACAAACGTTCACGTTCTACTGCGGGTCGAATTATTATTCGTGAGATTTTTGTGATCATTGACCGACGAATAGCATTGTGAAGAGTTCGGAAGTGGGTCGGGGTCGAGTGTGCTGGCGCCTCCGTACCTACCCGACGCACTGCGTGTGACTCTGTTCTTAATTACATGTCAATAGAGTCAACGCATCTCGCCAAAAGCAAAAGATTTATGTAGATTACGGTTTAAGAATTTTACTTTAATTCATTTGTTCTCTCCCAATATATGTGTTATCGTCGTCATACCCAAGATATTCGAAGGTGTAGCTCCGCTGCTTATCAACACCCACGCGTAACAAAAATCCTCGCAGGCTTTTCGGCTTCAACTCGCACTTCAAATATCTAGTAGTCCATCTTGTTATTAGAATAAGTTTAAAAATGATCAAATTAGATAAAGAGAATCTACGTTATGTTATCTCTATGGGTTGCCCATAAACTATCATTTTATCTTCTAGGTCTCTTTACGTCTCTCTACGCCACGTGTCGCACTTTAGCTTCGCGTGTGCGGTTCAATGTCTAATAAGTGTGGCGTCCACCGGAAACTATACAGTTTTTTCGCTTCTCACGGTACTCTGAACTGTATATAAATAACACTTGTTTAGATCACGGTGTACGAAAAAAACAATACGAAGCTATAACAATTTTCTCATTTACGCTTTCAATCGAGATGCCCAACTTCCAAAATGTAGCTGTATATGTAGATTTTGTAAGCGGGTCGCTTTTGATATCATCTTATAGGAATTAATTCCAATCGAAAGTTTGGCATACATTGGGGTTAAGTGCGATGCCATATGGCAAAGCAGTTACTTTTTCGCTTCACCCAGCCTTCGATTTCCCGGTTGCTTTACGTACAACGCCATATCGTTTTTCAAAGTAATTAAAAGTAGTGAATAGTGTGTATGCAACTACATTGGGTTACCATGATTACAGTAGTGGCAGTCGTTAGATGAGTCCGCACGGGCACGCCGCGGCCGAGTGCCAGAGGCCGGTTTTCGTGAGTGGGTCACTGGGCCCGGCGTTTTAGCACTTGCGTCGTCGCGATGTGTCGAATTTATTACGTTTTAATTGACGACCGGTCTCGATGTTATCGCTTGACAATTTCCTTCATCGTAAAAGATAAGCTACGAGAAATAAGAAAGTTTTAAAAGTTGTATATTCAATTCACTTAAGAGCTCTTCCCACGAATTGCTGCGAATGTAAAAGTCTATGAGGATATCGCAATTAGTTCGTACTTTATATATTAGCTCTGTTCAATAAACACTTTCCAAAATGTTCGGGTTCATTACAGTCGATTTTCATTTTTTTAATTTTTTTTTCGTTTCACTTAAGTCTTAATGTTTCCTATTTCTATAATATAAAATTCGATCATGTTTGACGGGACGGAACCTAGTAAATTTAATAAATCTTAAACGCCGATAAAATTGAAACAGTTACACTTTTAAAATATTAAAAAAATAAAAAATTTGTTTATTATGGAATAAGACACAGGTATCACTTATTCCACGTCATTGAATTTGAATCTGTAGGCATCCCTACTCATCGGCAAAGAAGACAAAAAAGCCGGCGTAAAAAAACTCTCGGTACTCTTTGCAGTGTGCAAATAGCAAATCATCAAACAACACTTATTTTAAAATAAATATCGCAAATTAATTAGAAGTAGCCTGTCTAGCACTACTCCCAGGTCCCAGTCCCACCCTTTTATCAACTAGATAATCGTTTACTTTATAGTAAGCCTTTTTACACAGATTATCTTATCTTATACTCAATAAGAGGTCGAGAAGAAATTGGCTGTGCCAAAAATAAAATCTGGAACTGTTTCGCAAAAACACTTTTTGTATGGCAATTAAAGTTTACAATAAATTACCAAAAGAATTAAAAGATCTTCCGTCTAGAGTCTTTAAAAAGCGACTTAGTGTCTTACTTTTAGAAAAAATGTACTATTCAATACATGATTATTTGCGTGAAACACCGTAATTGATATAAAATTAATGATGTAATGTATATAGTATAATAGACTAGATAATATAAGAATTGACTTTGACTAATAATGTACAATTCCTTAAGACAAATTTGCGCGCCATCGTGAGTGGCAGAATATGCGAACGATTTACGATTGTATCACCTTAACATTTTGTACGATATTCTTGCAATAAATAAATTATTATTATTATTATGAAAAAAAAATTAACTGTAAAACTCAACTGCGATTATTACAATGGTTTATTTAATATTATTAATAAAAGGGAAAAAAATAATTTAAATTGAATTAAGTAATTTAAACAGTAAAGTCTCTAATTATAACTACAACCTGTGAACCTCTTACAAAAAAAACCATGTGCGCTGGGAACTTATCTCTGAACCAACGATTCCATGACGCGTGGAAAACGCGTCTTCGGTCAGGAAAACCCACTGACTTGACAGAGAACCGGAAGGTGCTCTGTGGATCATGGTGAAATTATGGAACTGCTCTCAACCGCCGAGATCAGCTGGAGTCGACGGCAGATGAGATTGTCCGTTGGATCACAATCCGTACGGTGGAGAAGTTGTCTGTTGATTCACACCTGTACCCCCAGTTTCCTGGAACGCTTCGAAAGAACACTTGAAGCGCGAAAGCTCCGATACCCAGGCACTAGGTTATTATGTCATATGGTGTTATTTTGTGGGGTAATGCAGCTGACATTAAATCGAGATTTGTAGTGCAAAAGCGGGCTATAAGAGCGATCTGTGGGTTTGTCCCCACGGGAGTCGGTCCGAAGCAAGTTTAAGGAATTACATATTTTGACTCTGGCAACTCAAGACATTTATGAAAATATTTTGTATGTGCGGAAAAATATAGATATCTTTAAAAAGAATAGTAGCTTCCATAATTATAGTACTTACTCGTAATAAAGGCAAAATTAGCGCACCAACCAAGGCAATTTGTATACGTTTTTTTAACAAAATCCCTAGTGAGATACAAGTGTTGTCAATAAATATATTTAAATAGTACATTAAAGTAGAACTGCTTGCTAAGGCCTATTATAATATAAATGAATATTTAAAGTTTAAACGATCCTAGTGCTTGGATATGAGTTGCTCCAGTATAAATAGGTAACGCGACTAAATCTCTCGGCTGCATTTCCAGACTCCGGGGCGATCGTCAACATCCACGACTGTTTTAATGTAAAGTGGGAACAAACCGTCATCCATGTGGTATCAAATTATTTCAGTATTATTATTATTTTCTTATGTAGCCAAGTCCACATTTCAAGGATCGTCATGCTCGCTTAAATGTCATTGCTTGTGGCGGCGTCCATGCGTCGGGTTGTCTCTTTCCCTAAAATATGGCGAGGGGGCCGATGGCTGGCCATGCGTCATACTCGTGAACGGGTGCTACTTGTGGTGAAGTACGACCACTTGAATTCGTGTATGCGGTGATGTTAATTATTTCGACTATGTGTTGTTCCCACGAGAATGTAAGTGCGTGCTCCTATTTCACCATGCCTCCTGCTGATAGAGGACAAGTCTTTGTTTTTAATTTATGTTATTATTATTAATTACTTAAGATGTCATGAGGAACATGGTTTAATGGTTGCAGCTCCTTACAAACGTTGTGTAAAAAAAAACATGGCGATTAAAAAGAGTGGCGGAGAATTTATTGCCAGTTCTTCTCTTCCGTTCTACGCTCTTGATTTGAGAACTGGCACTAAATGTAAAGTTAGAAGCATTTCATATACCTATTTTTTTGACGATCATAAGTGTACATCATGATCATGAGGAGTGGGCGTCGGCATCTTTCGCGAAACAATTAAAAAAACACAGTAATGGAGTAGCAACATTTAGGTTCGGTTGAAATATAACACAAAATAAATCAAATGTTTAAATGAAATATAATTACCCCAACCCAGATTCAAACCCCAACTGTTTATATACCGGAAGATCACCATTCCACTACGCTATGAGATACAAAAGAAAAGATTACATTTTAACTTATACGCAAATACAGGTAATTAACTATAAATCTATCGAATGAAACAAAAACCTACAATAATTAATTATTATACATCAAGAATACCCACTTATCATAACATCACGCTAAACTAGCAAATAAAACCCACAGCAATGTGTTTGTGTTACATTATACTAATTTTAAGATAGTCGCTGTCACATTTCATTACGTCGTTAAATCACTATTAAGAATTATACGTAGTCGGTCCCAAAGTTCTGTCATAAATGGAAATAATGATAAAAACAAAAGTACTGATCAGTTTGTAATGAGTGATATATCAATTCTTAGTACATTAATTAAGGAATAAAAAAAGCATAAAAATATTCGAAATAACCTCCCTCATTTTTAATACAGGCCCTTAAGCGTCGCGGCCAGTCGTCTATCGCAGCACGCACCATATTCGTGTCGATTTCAGTCACTGGTTTTTTTAAAGATGACTTTAGATTCTCCAAATTTTCATGAGGTTTATCACAGACCTTCCTCTCTAAGCCCTGTCATAATTTCTGGTCCAAAGGATTAAGGTCCGGACTGGAGGAAGGCCAATCCTCATGTCTAATTAAGACTATGTTTTGACGCTCAAACCAGGCTTTAGTGGTCTTGGCTTTGTATGCAGACGCAGAGTCCTGCTGGAACACGAAGTGATGTCCCGCAAATAGGGTGCTGGACATGTCTTTGACAAGGCGATACAAAACCGTCTCTTGGTACACTGTAGCACTGGTTTTGACCCCCTTTTCGAAAAAATTAACCTCAGTTAGCCCGTAATAGGACACTCCCAACCAAACCATTACTGATGATGGATGATGTCCATGTTGCACCCTTGGAACTTTATTTTCAGCTTCTTCAGAACTCCTAGCGTACACTGTATAATTCTGTTTATTGTACTTCTCTTCAATATCGAAAAATTTTTCGTCCGTAAAGAGGATATCACGGTGTCGGTTTTTCGCGTACCGCTTAAACAACACCCGCGATCTCTTAAGCCTTATTGCTTTTAGACGAGCATTAAGTAAGTGCCCACTCTTTTTTTGTATGCTCGTAGACCAAGATCTTCATTTAAAACCTTTTTTACTGTTTTCCTACTGACACCCATCTGCAAATCCATCAACTTCTGTTTTCGGACAGGATTTCTTACTATCCGCGCCTTGATAGCTTTGATTACTGCTGGTGTTCTTGCGGAGCGTGGCCAGCCAGTTCTTTTCTTGTCCTCAACACTGGAGACTTCAAGGTACCTATCAATAGTACCGTACACAAACCTAAGCGTTATATTCAAATTTTTGAGCAACTTGAAAATGGTACTCGGCGTGTGTCCACAGCGGTGCAACGCAATAACAACTATTCGGTTTACTTTCAATGTCCACTCCATCGTGAAAAATTACGGAAAGTTATTGTTTTTTGTTTTAAAACAATAATCAAACATTCCAAAATAGAATGCAATAATTTTTTTATAAAATCCTGCTCGAAATGTAGAAATAATGTGCTAGTGACAGAACTTTGGGACCAACTAATAGGCTCAGCAATTTTACACCAATAAAAGGTTGAAGAAATCACTTGCTTAATAATAATCGAATTAATCCAGACACGAAAAAGTTTGTTAACAAGAACCAAAACCTATTAATAATATTAAACTTACCCAGGGGCTTGAAACATTATTCAATTTTTATTTAATTATTTGTTATTTTAAAACTGCACTGATTTGATTTTTTCAAAAAGGAGAACAAAGAAAAATCACGAATATTAATAACATCTAATTGTCGTGCGAAATAAAAAGACCCTCTTCCTGCGCGAATTCGTTTTTATATCTTTCTCGGAACGGCTACTTCCTCCCTCAGGTGACAATCGTACTCCACCGAATTCTAGATTTTTCCGTATGTGATGAGACAGAGATATTAAATAGAACGGTCAAACGAAACAAGACACGCCTAAACTATTGTCTATATTCTAGAGAATTCTTGTGATATTGAGATAGCAATAATCGAACCAAGTGTCGTTTTCAGAGGAAGAGGAGGAGTGCGGTCTGTCGGAATCGCTGGAGAGCGTGCGCGCCGGCGATACCGACGACGAGGGCATCGAGAGAGACGCCGAACCGCCGCAAGCTCGTCGCCGACGCCTCGCGCTGTTTCTGCTCGAGGACGTCGTCGAGGTAACGCTTCGAGCGACCGGTCCCAAAGGTCGGAATCTTCGGAAAGGCGGGCCTGAACGAAGGACTGGTATGTTGCAGCGTTGCGCGTGGCACGCGGGGGTGGGTCGCGGCAGAGGCGCGCGAGAGACTGCGGCGGCGCACTATCGCGCCGTGTGCCGGGCGCTGGTCGCCGAGGCGCTGGAGCTGGCGTCGTTTTTGGCGCGAGTCAGGGTCACCCCCGCCAGGGACCTCGGCGCCGCGGATGACTCCGCTTCGCATCTCGACACACTGCTGTTCTCCGACTGGGTAACTGTCCCTTTTACCATAGCGACCTGTCCTGCCCGACCTGCGAGTGTCGTTATGCACCTTAGCGAGACGTAGGGCGTTCGGAAACTTTTAAAAGACGAAACAAAGAGACAAATTTCTCTTTGCTGCGATGCCCCTTAAGGAATGAGTGGGTGTCGCACGTAGACAAACGCATTGCTCGTCTTTTTATCGCAGAACATAATTCAATGTGATATTATGATTCAGCGTAAACTTTCCGAACCAACACTGTTAAAGTAGATTATATAGTAGTAGTTTTTAGTTTCAATCATTCGTTTCATTTCCTTGTAACGTAACTAACGCTAGTGTTTCTGTTGCTAGTCCAACCGCAGGATCTGGAGGGCCCTTCAAGTAGGTATCTATGGGAGGCACAAATGTGGAGCGTTGTGTGTGTGTGTGTGTGTTTGTGTGTCGGCGCGGCAATGACGTGGGCTTCGGTCGGCAGGCGCGGTTCTGGATGCAGGTGATCGGCGAGCTGCGCATGGGCGTAAAGCTGAAGAAGGTGAGCCACTCGCGCACGCCCATCGAGTACGAGTTGACGCCCTACGAGATCCTCATGGACGACATCCGCTCGCGGCGCTACACGCTGCGGAAAGTGGACTCCAGCATCCCGCACAAGTGAGCCAGCCTTCGCTCGAAAGCATCCGGCGCACTTTTGCCTCGACTTATCCGCGAGGCGCAAACTACGATCATTGAATGACATTTCGTTTTCTCTTTTCAGTGTCAAGAAAGACGCACACGCGATGATTCTCGAATTTATAAGAAGTAGACCTCCTCTCAAAAAGGTAACAATTTCAGTTCAGTTTATATGAAAATAACGCGCTCTAAACTGCACACACAATATTTTAAAATACTCTAATTTCTAAACACTGCGCAATATGTAATAAGAATGTGACCTTGTCAGTTTTTTGGATTGGAAGAGCGATTTGGAAAATTAAAGTTTAAAGTAAGCTCGCATCGAACAGGCGTCGGAGCGCCAACTGCCCCCGGCCAAGCGGGAGACCACGCCTCGAGAGCAGCTGCTGCGCTCCATCCGCCTGGGCCGACCGCTGCGACCTACGCCCCGTGAGTACTGCCGCCCTACCTCCGCCCCCTCACCCACCACTGACCCGACTCTCACCCTCTTCTGTTTCCAGGTACCTTCTGAACCCTCGCTCCTCCCCTTCGCCTTTCGTATTCCTTTTTTTGATTTATTTTGACCGCTCCATGTACCATTTTTTTGATTGTGTATAAATCTCATACTTATTTATCTCGTATTATTCATTACAATAATTTAAAATTTTAACATTAACAAATGAAGAAACGCGGAAGATCAGTTTACTGTTGAATTAATTAATAACATTTATTTAGCCATAACGTATCACGCTCTAAAGTCCAAATTTCCGCTTGAAAAACATTATGACGGGATTTCTTTACTTATCAATGCGACTGTTCTGAGCTCAGATCAGCTCAGATCAGCTCAGATCAGCAGTAAAGAGTATGCAGCTTATTATGACGTCGAGCGTATTTCGGAGTCTTTGTGGTTTTTATTTAAGACGACCAGTCAGCTAACTGACTATTGTAATGGGAACGAAATGCGTTTCGTTTACAAGATTGTTTATAAACATAATCTATAATTTATTTTACTATATCACATTTTAAAAAAATTTATAGAGCGCTTCCTTACTACTTGAGTATATTGATTTCAAAATGACAAAGCACGAAAAAAATAAATCAAAATTATCCTTTTTTAATCCCCCGTACGTACCTGTAGGCCTGTAGATGACGTTCGCCGATTAGATGAAAAATTTATTTGTCACCATTTATTTTCTATTCATCACGGAAATGTAGAATCGGAAACTAGTTCATCGTAATCGGATTGAAAGCCTCACGTGTCGGGAGGCCCTTGACATACCGGTTAAGCTATTTTTTACTACGATTCTTTTTACGCTGTCTTTTTGTATTTTCCTGCTCATTTTTTATGAGTGTAATTTACTTTCTCTCACTACCGGAAGGAACCTTCTTACAGTGGTTTTCTAAATGTTGCATTGCAAACGTAGTTTCATTTAAAAAGTGCCGCCATTGTCGGTGCATTCTTCAGGCCCTGCCGACTAACAGTCGTAATACACGTTCGTGTAAAAACCGTAACAACCGGTTTGAAACGTAATCGTGTTGCACAAGAAGCCGAGTACCTCCGTGTATCTTAGATTACTAGAACGATAACATATACTCCCGATATGCCCGAGGTGTGCTCGAATTATATCTAGTATGTATGTCATCTCCCGTTTTGCAAAATTTTTACTAAAAGTCTCAATGAGACTGGAGCGATTCTAAAATTAAAAAATCATTTAATCATATGGGTAACACATTGTACACTTATGACTTGTCAGCAAAGAAATACAAAATAATAATGCTTCTAATTTTACATTTAGTGCCAGTTCTCAAATCAAGGGCGTAGAACGGAAGAGAAGAACTGGCAATAAACTCTCCGCCACTCTTTTTAATCGCCATGTTTTTTTTTTTTTTACAAAACGTTTGTAAGGAGCTGCAACCATTAAACCATGTTCCACATGACATCTTAAGTAATTAATAACAATAACATAAAATAAAAACAAAGAGTTGTCCTCTATCAATTATTGATTGCAGTGTGCCATTAATAAAGGATGAACTATATTATGTACTATTTGGATGTGACCGAGTAATTTGTTGGGTTTAACTCGAAAGTCAAAGCAAATGTTCTGATCCGAGGAAGTGAAGCGGTGACTGCTGTTCAGCCGTCAGTGTTTGCTCTTTAGAGTTTAGTCGTCACGCGACCGTCGCGCGAGCAACGCGTGTGAATTCATTTCGTCGTTAAAATCGAACACGAACTTTATTGGTGATTGATGTGTGACTCTTGCCGACATCTCATCATTAATAGCATAATCGACTACCGCCACGGTAGTCGAGTGAGTTGAGAGCATTTCGTTTGAAACAATTGTTATGTGACGTGTCGATACTGAGAAAGGACAACAATTACGTGAAGTAAAATAAAAACTGCAAGATGGGGGTGTGCGTTACGAGCTCGCTGGCCATGGAAATGAGTCGTATGTTATTCTTTATTTTTCTCAAAGGTTTTAAGTTAAAGTAATAAAAATTGATACTAAGGAAAGCTTCGCGTTTTCATAAAATTGCAAGTAGTCAGTGGTGACTACAACCGGCATGCGACCGATTACGCAAATCGTGTCATGGCTTTTTATTAAGATAACTGCATCGTCTAGGAAATACGAAGACGCGATTGGAGGCTGCCTTCACAGATGTACCTATTCAATCCTTACAATGTAGGGCAGGTGCGGATACGATAATGATTGGATGCTAGAAAGAAGATAACGATCTTGTCGGATTGTTGTTGTCGTGAAAGAGAGAAGAGGTGTTGGAAATATGAATCAGTGTCGTAACGGTTGTAAGGGTTTGGGGTCAGGCGCCAGTTAGCGCCGCTGATGGCGCTACAGTTACGGGAATTAGTCACACACGAACGAAATGTATCAGTTCCCGCTTTGTGTTACAATTATTTCATGACTCCTATTACTCTCTCCTAAATTGAATTTATCTTATATAGTCTCTCAATTTAGGCATTAACCTTATAGATATTTCGTTTGTGAACGTAAGCAATGCTTCTTTATACCTGTTCGAAATAATTTTTTTTAATTTTATTAAAATTGATGAGGGTGATCTCAAAATTTTTTTTACTCGGGTAACAATAGATGCATTTTTATTATGATATACGTGAACTATTATTGTAAGGCAAGGTACAGCATTAGTCTAACCTCTCTTTGTTTCCAAACTAACAATTTCTCCAAATCCTTACGGCTGACGTAATTGTGTGCCTTTCTTCCTAGTAAGGAAACACTACAACGAGGTATGTACTCGGGACTTATTATAGTATAAGATTGTGTATCGACGGCAACCGAACCGATCTTTGTGGTACAATAACATAAGTAGGTAATACACACTGAAATAAAAACATATATGTTAGAAACACATATCTTACATATAAATTATGTGCCTCTGCTCCGGTACCCTCAGCTCTGCGAAGGGAAAATTTGTAATTAAAGATACTTTCTCACATGGAAATCAATCATTGCACATCGGCTAAATTACAACGGCAGCGGGACTGTTTTCTTATTGAGTCTTGTCGCGGTTTATTGTTTCACTGCGCTAAATATTTTTAGTTTTACTGTAAGGAATATACCTGAGTTATAACGTCTACACTGGTTATGGAGCCAATACGGTCCGTCGCTGCCGCAATCAGTCGTGACCGAGCGGCGAGCGGTGAACGGCTGGGAACTAGATCTTGCCTAATTTGTCCCGTGTTGTGCCTCTGCAACATGTCAGTCTACCACTTACTTCGGAATTGATTGTTTCAGAATTATACGTTTAAGAACTCACCAACATTCATATCATAAATGGAGTGCGTCAAGCTATTTTTTCTCTATGGAGTGACAGTTTTGACAGAGCCTAAGACCTATATTGGAGCTTGATACATGTTTTTGTTTACGGGCCTTAATCTTTTTGCCTTCAATCAATAATACACATGATGGAATAATACCCTATTGGTCAATTTATTGATTGAAAACTTACCATTGTGTCGCGAAAATATGTCGATTGGCCCTTCGCCAAAGGTTACATCGCTAGACCGAGTTTGCGGCGCCGTGCTTGTGCCTTATACGAGGAGAAAATAGGCCTCCACTGTAATTGTTATAAATTACTTTTAATTATTGAGGATAAAAATGTTTACACAATTGGCGTCTTTCTTTCGAAGAATAAAATGCTAACGCAACGGTGCGAAGGTCACGTTTCAAAGGAAAGCGGTTGTGTAACGCGTGTGAACAATTGTATTATGTGAAGCAATCTATGGTGTGGATTTTCGTGTTCACCTGATCCCATATTTCCTCCGCGTTATATTGTTGATGTTAAGTACGACCACCGAGCCTACGGCTTATCTTCCCGTTTTGCGTATCCTTACCAAATGACGTCTTTGAAGCCGCGAGTGGCGTTCAATAAACGGGTTTAGAGCGTGAGGGAAATGTTTCAAGTAAGAGGAACTTTGAAGTCAAGGCCATTCGGTCCGTTCGTACGCTGTTTATTCACGCGTATACAATATAAGTCGCAGACAACACACGACTTTCGTACAATTTAGCTGACCTTGAATGAAATAAAAAATATTAATACATATTTTGCGGCACGTCAATCGTTGTGAATAGCGCGTATTTTGTTACTGTTAACTTGAGAGGTTAGTCAGCTGATTGTAAAAAGATTTTGTTCATCAGCTGCGTGACGCTCGAGGGGTCGATATCTATGAGCCCTCGTTTGAAGGGAAGTTAGTGGGACGTGTGTAAAGTTTCACGGGACCGCGCATGCGTCCCACCGCTCGCTCTACGCCGATATCACCAGTCGGTTTCCCTCTGTCCCAGCTAAAGCACGAGTAAACTGTCTCTCCGTACAGCGTTTCGCTTATATTCCGATAAAATAGAACACGTGAAAGTTGGAGAAGACGCGGAAGACGACTGCAGCCCGCAGGCGCCGCGCCGCAACGATTCGCGCGTTTTAGGTCAATGCCACACTCCATATTCGAATTGAGTTCGCGCTTCTACGGTGAATTTTGCACAATCCATGTCTCCTCTTGCACGAATCGACGTCCCCGATACAATAGTGTCCCATATTACTCGGGAATAATCATCCGACCGTGATTGTGTGCGAAGTGGCCGCGTTACATTGTAAAGTGGGTGGATTTAGGAGTCAACATAGAGCGGAGAAAAAGCGAGGCGAAGGTGCGGCGGCGGCGAGTGTCCCCCGCGGGGGGACGCAGCCCCGACGAGCCGCCGCTGGACGTCGCTCAGCACAAGGCCTACTGGGGCAGCGTCGCGCGCGCACGACCCCGCACCGGTAACACGCAGCAGTCATATTCTATTTAACTGAGACATATCCGGTTTAAGTAGTGGAGCTTTAGAGAAAGTTCAGAGGTTAAAAAGTTTCCTACGAACCATTATAGGTACAGTGAAAGAAATTGCACTAAGTTAATAGACGTTGTTTGAATTCAAACCGGGATTTCACTTGCAACCACGGAATTTTAAGCGTCGGCCTATATGTCTAGTTTGTATAAATACGAGGTTAAGGTTCTTTGCTTTGCGAGTGTTATATATTCGGGCCATATTTAAAATTACAGAGTAAACTCCCGTATTCAAGAATGATAGGATATTCTTGAAACTAGTCGTGAGGTGAAACGCTCTTTGTCACTGCACTGCTTTGACATTGGAGCGGTTCACAGTTCTTACGAATTTTATTTATGACCCATAAAGATGATTGATGAGTGACGATGATGGATCTAAATTATATTTGTACCGACAGAGGCAAGCGGCAGCGTGAGCGGAGGCGGGTCGGAGGATAGGCGAGCTGGAAGTGACGTCACGCGACGAACGAGCGGTGACGTCACGCCGCACAAGCAGCCGCAGAGGAGACTCATCAAAGTTGACTTCGATAACCTCGAAGTAAGTTTGTTTAATTAAGGAATCAGCATCGTCACCACCACTTTCCTTTTGCTCTTTCGTGACTGAGACGTTTTTGACGACAAGTGACGACTATGAGTCTAACCATAGAAATCTCGTTTCGATTCCAGGACGATGAAGACGACGAGGAGACGCAGAAGTGCGCGTCTCCCCCGCGGCCTTTGCCCAGGCACTCGGCGCCGCCCAAGCCCTGGAAGAGAACCGGTAACTCCACTTTACGCTACGCCGGAGACGCTCTGGTCTTCCTCTCGATTTTAGGAAATAATTCCATCCCGATTTCGAATTGATGACTCGTTTCGGACTTAGATAGACACGTCTTAAAAGCTAAAGTGTGCACTTTGTCCCGAACGCCGGACGCGGCGCGGCCCGACGCGACCCGATGCGGCACGGCAGCGTCCCGACCGAGAGTGCCGCCGCGGGCGCGTCTCTCTCACGACGAGTACCACCAGTTCTGCGATGAGACCCTCGAATGTACGCCCCACGCTATCGCATGACGCATTCCATCTCTTTGCGGGCTTTTTATTATTATTTGTAGTCCTTCGCCGGCCGCACGCGCCGCCGACCGGAGCGTGCGACGCCGATTGATTCTAGACTTTTTGTGATGTTCCGTTGCCTGGTCCTAGAAGCTATCGCTCGTCTTAGACGTGTCATTATCATTCGGCTTCCGGAATCGATCGGCGCATCTCATATCCGCTCGATTCCGGAAGGCCCGAGAAGGGCCGGAAAATAACCGCGCCTTGCGCTGTCGCAGCGTACGACCTGGCGACGCAGTGCCCGTCGCGGCGCGCCTCCGTGCGGCGCCACTCGGTGGCGAACGCGGCGACGGGACCCACCGGGGCGCCGGGCGCTCAGTCGGTGCCCCACTCGAGGCCCGAGTCGCGGGGTTCCCTGGGCGGCCTGAGCGACGACGCCGAGTCGAGCTGGTCCCGATCGTCCCTGAGAGACGACCTCGTCGAATCGGTCAGTATGCTCGTCGGCCGCTCGGCCTCGCTCGGGTCGAGGGCGGTCGTCGCTGACGGGCCTTCGCGTCGTGCGCAGAAGCGGTGGCGGGACGCGCTGCTGAGCGAGGAGCGGCTGTCGCTGACCCTCGAGGAGATCGTGCACATCCGGTCGGTGCTCACGAAGGCGGAGCTGGAGGTGCTGCCCGTCGAGGGCCGCGTCAAGGAGGACGTCGAGAAGAGGCGCGTGTGCTTCCTCTGCCTCAAGACCCGCTTCGGCATCTTCGGTCCCTGGGGACAGAGGTGCAAGCTCTGCAAGAGGACCGTCTGCCACCGCTGTTGCACCAAGGTGAGAATCCCTTCGCCCGGGACCTCGTCCAGCGCGTCGGGCGTTCGCTGACGAGACGTTCTGTCGACAGATGCGCATCCCGACGGAGCATTTCGCGCACGTGCCCGTTGTGCTGCTGAGTCCTTCCTTGCTGCCTTCGCCCCCCGACGAGGAGCCCCCGCCGCCGCCTCGCTCGCTGCTGGCTCGGCTCGCCGCCCCGGTGAGTATTCCGTTATTTATACGAGCGGGCGGGTCGCTTTCAGTCAAACGTTCATCGCCGATCGTCGCTCTTCCGGGACGAGTCGAGTTTCGCGCGTACGAAACCTCTCTTAATTTGCAGGGTGGCAGCGTGGAGAACAGCGTGGGCAGCGCCCCGAGCAGTCCGGCCGCCGCGAGGCGGGCGGCGGGCTCGGATGGCGGCGGGTCGGAGGGCGGCGGGTCGGCGCCGGGCTCGCGGGGGGGCTCGGCGCTCGGGTGGTGGGACGGCGGCGCCATGACGCGCAGCGTCGAGGGGCCCGCCAGTCTTCCCGCCGCCGAGAGGCTTCGCGGCGTGCCGATGGCCGTGTGCCTCGACTGCAAGGCGCTGGTGCTGCAGATCATCAAGTCGTCCCGCGCCTGTCGCTCGGCGGAGCGAGACCGCGCTCTCCGGCACCTCACGCTGGACCTGACGCCCCTCTACCCCGCCGCCGACCGCTAGCGACCGGTGAAAAGCGAAACGCACATTTCCCGATAGAACTATTTGACCTCCCGAAGCGCGTCCCGACGACGACCTGATGCCGTGCCATATTATTATCCCCGGACCCCACTCGACGACTCGTGATTCGGTCGCACGTTACCTTTTTATTTCACCTCATGAACATAAAACTGAATCTGAATTTACGTTTGATCTTTCGTTTACGCTTTTACGCTTTTTAATATTCACTCAACTTGACACGAGCGATCGTCCTCTTCGTTCCTGTGAACCCTTCTTCGTCTTCGAGAGATCGACCTCGCCTCCGCCCTCGATTCGTTCGATGGTCTGTTCCGAGAGCGAAATTTAACATAATATGTATATATTAAAGAAAATTATTCACTTTAGCCGTAAGTTTGATGGAAAATATGTGTAAAATACTCGTCGGTATGTCTCGCGTTGAGCTGTCTCGCCACAAAACTAAAGTTCTTCGAAAAATTTATCTTAAAACTGTTATTTATTAAACTGAGAGAAGAGAACGGCCGCCACGGCGACTCCGTGTCTTGTGATGAAATCCATCTAGTGTTTGCGAAAACGGATTGTTTTATTTCAATTCTACGACTAAAAACTTGGTCTGGCCGAGGAGTACCCCTCGCAAAGATCACCCGACTCGTCGAGCCGATCGGTGACCCGCAGACGCCGGATGGATCTCGTCTCGAAACCTTAAGATTGTAATATAGTGTACTTATAATTATGAGATTAGATGTTATAACAGAATGAATATATTATAATAATATAAAATAGCTTTTATTTTTTTATTCTTCAAATCGTGCTCTTTAACCGTCATTGTTGTGAACCGTTTCATCGAAACACTTCCTAGATAGGATAGGTCGTAGATAATTAGTTGTTTCTTTTTAAATTCCTTGTTCACTAAAATGGGAGCAAGCTCCAGATTATTTATCGTAATCTAATGTATTCACTTAATAATTAATTGTAAATTAAATGGTGTTGTGTAAAAAGGAATGATATGATATTAACGGCACTGATTGCACTTATTCGAACTCAACTTTTAAGTTTATTAATTTAAAAAAAGTAAAGATATATGGGGTATGTCAATAGTCATTTTAAATTCCTTGATGTAATAAGTTATTTGTGCTGCAGAAGCGGGCTGTTTGGGGTATTTGTTGTGTTTCGAGGGAGTCGGTACGGAATTAAATATTATGACACTATCTGGTCAATATATTCTTGAAGCCTTGTTGTATGTACAAAAAAAAACAAATGTTGACTTTCACCATTATAATACCTACGCGAAATAGAACTAATTTTAGTGTACGACCAACCAGGCTCCAGAAGATAAACCACTCCTTATATGGAAATTGTATTCGTTTTTACAACAAGCTCCCAAGCGAAATTAAAGAATTATCACTAAATAAATTCAAAGCCCTCGTTAAACGTAAATTAATCGATAAAGCTTTTTATAGATTTGACGAATACTTAATTATCCTTATCCTTGGGATTGATTTGCTCCAGTTCAAACAATTTGTATGACAATACTTGGCGGAAAGTTTCTTGCCATTTCTTCTTACCCGCTCTACGCCCTTGACTTGCGAACTGGTAGTAAATGTAAATTTACAATTAATTTTATTTCTTTTTGAAATTCATAAGTGAACCTATATGAATAAAGATATTTTGAGTTTGAGTTTGAATATACATACGTACAGACAATTATCATACTTAAGTCTCAACTTTCCTGAGCACAAAAATCTCTTATACAATCCAATACATTAGTTTCTCCAACGCCGTCTAGCGGCTGTATTACACAACTAAACTTACTCTAAACACAGCCCAAACGGGGGCAAGAGGCTTAAGTGGTAAATCGAAAATATTGTTTTGAAAAAGTACCGTTTCTTTGTTGAATTGGCCTTAACAGGGAATTAAGTGATACAAGGCGCATGAATGAAAATCTAATGTCGCTAATTTTTTCTTGTCGGAATTATCCAAGTACAATTTATACATGAGAAGAGAGCGCATGTCTGTGTACTTGAAAAATGGTTATCTTTACTGCTACTTATTAGTTCGGACTTTAGGCACAAATTATATCCTGCTAGTCTAAATTAAGTCAGATAGATGACAGGTGAACGAGTGCCGCCACAATTTTTCAAACATACGGTATCGCTAAGCTTCGTCAAAAGATCCTTGGGAAGGCCGGCACTTCGCAATCAACTTCGCGTCCCCGCGTTCAAAAAGGAAACAATAGAATTAAATAGGATTTATATTTATCGATCAATCGTTTCTATACAATAACACATAGGGCTTAAATAAATAAGTATTGAGTTAGGAGGAGGAATCGGGCTCAGCCGACCACCAGGATGCCGTCCTCGCCGAAGGTGTGCGGCGGCACCTCGAGGTTGAGCGGCGCGGGCCCTTTGCGGATGCGGCCCGACGCGTCGTAATGCGATCCGTGGCAGGGGCAGTAGTAGCCGCCGAAGTCCCCGGCGTTGGCGATCGGCACGCATCCCAGGTGCGTGCACACGCCGAGTACGACGAGCCACTCGGGCTGTTGCGCGCGCGCGTCGTCGGTCTGCGGGTCGCGTAGCAACTCCAGAGGCACTGCCTTCTCGACGGCGATCTCCTTGGCCGTACGGTGACGAATGAACAGAGGCTTCCCGCGCCACTTAAACGTCACAGACTTTCCCTCGGGGATCTCCGCGAGCTTGATCTCGATCTTGGCCAGCGCCAACACGTCGGCGGCGGCCGCCATCGACGACACGAACTGCGTCACCACCGACTTGGCGGCGTACGCGCCCGCCATACTGCCCGCTGCCCAGATAATAATGTTCATTTAATTAAATTATCATAATAGTAAAAAATCTATAAAATTATCAACTACAATTGTGCATAATAAACCTTGTTATTCTCTTTATTTTTGGGCCTTATTTGGTAAAAGAGTATCGGCACTTCTTGTCCGTTCTACTTTTGAGAATGTTCCTATGTGAATAAATGGTATTTTATTAATAATACTAGTGGACCCCACAGACGTTGTCCTGCATGATATTTAAAGCGATTAGGATATTAAGCAAAGTATGAAAGTACCGACTGCAGTGCCATCTGCCGGGCTGATTTGTGAATCTAAACCATTCCCAGATCCCCTTGAACACACACAAAAAATTTCATCAAAATTGGTCCAGTCGTTTAGGAGGAGTTCAGTCACATACACACGCACACAAGAAATATATATATTAAGATTATTAAAGGTTATCATTATAAATAACTAAATTCAATCATTAATATAAAATATTGATATAATTCCTCCACATGTGATTTAGTTTTCATTTTCCTCTTTTACGCTGAATTGTACAATAATTTACATACAATTAGTTGAATAAGCTGATACGTATAGTTTATCTACTGATAATGTATGAATTGATTATTTTCTCATAAAAACGATGTCTGTTGGTCAAATTGAAATTAGTCATTATATACTACTATAAATTAAGGCTCAAAAATCTATATGAAAATTCATATTTGTCTTCCGCTATATGAAAATTCATAGTGCCAATTTGGATTGTTTGCACTATAAAATTTAATAAGCATACAGGTCTTATAGAACATATCTCAAAAGAAAATAAAAATCTATTAGTGTTAATGAATAGTTGATTCTGTTAAATAATTACTGTAAACTTACCGCCAGCAATGAGGTATGTAAAGGAACTACGGCCATCTGTATGTTCCTCAGCTTTAACAGTTGGGTCCAGGGTGTCCTTGCGACGGTACGCAGAGAAATCGGGGACTGCAACATCCGAGTGTGCATATCGGACTTGAGTTGGTGCTGTAAGAAGTAACACCATGACATGTTATGTAACAAAATCCTAATAACTAAATCATCTTGCGCTTGCTCTTACATTGTGTACTTTGTCTAACTTTCAAGCCCTGAATTGGTAACGAGCCGTGGAGTGACTGCACTGTCGAGGTGTAAGGCAGGGATTGCGAGACCAGCTTGTCTACAGGAGTGGCGACGGCCGACACAGGTTTGAGCCCATTGGAAATCACACTAGATGAAGCTTTAAAATACGGTGCTAGATGCCCCGCTCGTACAACGGAAGTCATTTTAAGCCCGGAGTTAATTTGATATTCAATTAAAATATATAAAATTGAATTGCGTTCTCCTGTCGAAAATTATCAGACTTAGTTGCACAGAGTAAATGCTACGAAGTACCACAGAATAGTATAGACTATAGACTATAGAGATGTAGAACCACAGCACAGCATACAGATAATACAATCACAGTATCAAATTTATCGAGAAAATAACTGTCAACTGTGTCCGAGGTAAAATATAGCCTATCGGCTATATTTGACAGATTATAAGTTATAACTTGCAAGTTGTGACCTTTGTCCTTTACCAACCAATGTGGGAAGTTTATACTTTTATTGCATACAAATCATTAATTTAAAATAAAATATTTAAATAATGCTCCCCTGTCAAATGGATGGCTCGTCAAAAAATCCAATTTAATTTTGTAAAAAAGAACTGCGTACATAGGTAATTTCGAGGTAAACAATTATGACTGGTTGGCGCGCAATAAACATTGAAAAAAAAGGGTGCGGCTTCCCGCCCGCTTCCCCTGCACTTCCCGATGGCGCCCGTATTGTACCGTTCGCATCGCAAGTTTTTTACTAGAATTTAGGGATGGCGATTCTTTACGAAAAAGATCGATTTTTAAATCGATTCGAATCGTAGTCTAATGAATCGATTCACGAAAAAATCGAGGCCTACAAAATCGATTCTTAAAAAATCGATCTTTTTTTCAAGTTTGCGTTTACAATGTAAATTTGTATCAATTTTACTAAAAACAAGATTAATATTGCAATTAACGATATCTTATCAATAAAATCAGGGAATTCAAAAATAACAATTATTTTTATTACCGTATCAAACTATAAGATCAACTATAAAAAAAAAATAAGTATTTATATACTGAATGTTTTCAATTCATTAAACGACAACAACAAATGAATAATGCATTATGCAATATCAATCGTCACAGATTATAAATACATAAAGTCAAAGACTACAAACGTAACTTTTTTATTAAAGAGAGGCGAGTAAAGGATACTAAACATACAGCCATCTCGCGAGTTTATGAGTAGTTAACTCTTTAACCGGCAGCACTCTTATAATTCAGGCACATTCAACTAAATGCAAATAATTGTATGGTTTATACCAAAACAGAAAAAATCGAATGTCGATTTTCAAGGGTGATATATCGATTCAGTGAATCGACACAGTACTTCATATCGATTTAAAAAATCGATATTTTCTGCTCGAAAAATCGATTCTTCGATTAATCGATCTCAGATCGCCATCCCTACTAGAATTTTTAGTCTCGTTCTGGCTTACGTCACGTAACGACGCGCTCTGGAATCCTTTTAGTTTCGTTTGTGTTATTGTTTTGTTGTTACAACTTGATCATTTGGAATTTATTATCTCTATTGTTCGAACAAAAATAAGTTTCCGACTTTAAGAACTTGCCGACAATGTGAGTACACTATTGTTTATTAGAAAACATTTTAGGAGTATACAATAATAAATTTATGACTCATGGAAACACGTGTTTGCTTGCTTTGTGTCAGGTGTTCAATTTTTTTTTTAAATTAAAATAAATGTATAAACTTAAACATTGTATTTTTATTCATTACAAAACGTTACCTTCCTTCACTTTCTGTGATACATAATTAAATAGTATTCTATTGTATTCAAATAGTGTAAAAAAAATAAAGATAAGATAAAAAGCAGCATCATGCCTGAGTAACATAGTAAATTAGGTTAAAAAAAAAACAAGGACGAAGCCGCGGCGGCTGCTCGATGTGTTCGCTTTTTTGCGGACGGTACAAACACGCCACTGTGACGTCACCGCGCTCAGGTCCCAACTTATCGCGCACGGGTTGTACTTATGTACGCGCGTAAGAAGTTATACTTCTTTGGCATTATTAAAAATAGTTTTTGATTGCATAATTAATTACAATTTAATAATCAAAGACTGGAAAAGGAGTCATTAAAGTCAATAAAGTTCAGTTTACATTTGAAAAATTAAATAAATAAATATTTATTATTATTCTCTTACATTAAGTGTTACATAAATTCTATTAAGTTATTATTATATATTTAGAACATCTCTTCCAAACACTAAGATGTTTGTTGTAGCTTTGGCAGTATTGCACAATATAGCAATTGATTTAAGAGGAACCTATCTCTGATGATGAAGAGACCCTGCCCATGACTACCAACAGTGCCCTCATCTCAAAATACACTGCGTGGAGCAGCAGTGAGAGCCATATTTATTGATGAAAACTTTTAAGTTTGATAGTTCTTAATTTAGGTTGTTTTAACAATTAAGTTATTTAAACAAATAAAACACTATTTATCTTTAAAACATTTTTATTTCATTATAATATTTATTTTTAAGTGACTCTTATGTCTTCATCAGAATTTAGGTTTGTAATTTTAAATTAATCATTACTTGGTTGTGCATCTAGGAGGCTTCTCCAAAACTAAAACTACTACTAACTTGCTTTCTGCAACAAATAAGAGAATATTAATTTAAGCTCTGTCCATGCACAACTTAAAATTTTTATAATAATTCATATTATAAAATTATTAACACATTTATATAATTATATTAATATAGTAGCACATGCTACAGACCTGGATAGCAACTTTCTTTTATTCTATTTAGAGATAGAGATAATTTAATTATAATACCGGTGTCTTCCTTGTAGGTTTCTTTGGAGTTGTTTGGGGATTCTTGTTGTTCAGTTCGACATGATTTCCTTTAACCTATCTTTAATCCTACAAAATAATGAAATTGTTAAGTTATGTTGTCACTGTTGTGCACACCTTTGTCTGGCTTTTCTAGTATTCAAGTTATGTCAAAACTGATTTATTACCTTGTCATTGTTGGCTTTATTTGCTTTTGGGATATCAATTGTTTCCAAAATGATTTTATTTGTAATATCCTGAAATATATAAATAACATCTATTAATTTAAGTGTCATGGTGAGTGGTTCGCACTCAGGTAAGGTGTATTAGGGGCCATCCATAAAGTACGTCACACGTTAATGGGGAGGGAGGGTATCACCGAAGTGTGACATCGTGTGACAAGGGGCATGGGGGCGTCAATACTTTTGTGACTCACATGTTTAAATTTAAAATACTAAAACGCAAAGTTTGGATGTGAATTAAAAATTTTAAAAATTTACGAACTTGATCTATATTAATTAATATTTTGGCATTCTCGCTATGCGATAATCTCTCATGCAACGTCATTTAACTTCTAGAGCGGCGTTGTAATGCAAGTTAGACACTCAAATTCACGAGAATTTTGAATGGTAAGGATTTAAATAGGTTTAAGTCGTCGGCAAGTGCTCGCTCGCTTTTCTATCGTTCCGCACGTCGGTTGTCAGTGAGACCTTCGACAAGTGCTACCTAACTCACGCGCCGGCGCAGTAAAAAATGTGTGACGTCACATCAGGAGGCGGGGTTATAAAAATGTGACAACCTGTGACAAGGACGGGGGGGAGGGGTTCAAAAGTCCTAAAATTCGTGTGACGTACTTTATGGATAGCCCCTTATACCCACTGTCCATTATAAGTGGGAATGGGCTCACTTCTGGCTGGACAGAGTTTCGGTACTACAAGTGTAACATGGATGTTTTGAGGTATTAGAATATCTCTAACTACCCTGTAGGGGAATAAAGTACTGTTGTGAGCATATGCCTATGCTTGAGAGGTTGAACCTTGAACATCACCATACATCATATTTATAATTAACATTCCTACCTCGACACCATCACAATCAAATTCATTGAAATCTACTTCAAACCATTGCGGTATCATCTCTGCCATATCCATTGTGTCTGGAGAAGGTGATGGTGGCTTTGTTCCACCTCCAGTTTTTGATGTTTCACGGCGATAAGATGACAACTTATTCTATTTAGTGCACTTCCACTGATTCATCAATTGTTTTTTGTCTCTTGTCCTTATATTTGCTAGATTAAATCTGAAAAATTACATATTTCGATTAAATAATGTGGTAATTTTTTTGAGATGCAGGTACTTATTAAAATGTTTACTTCTCTGTTATATCGCTCCAAGCCTTCATTTTCTCCTTATTAGTATTCGTGCTTAACTCTTTGTTCTCAATTATTGATATATCGGGTCGTAGAATATTTCTAAAAGTTGCTGTAACAAACGCAATAAACAAAAGCAATGAATAACCGTTCATGTTTCAGTTTTACTCAACAATAATACTCGATAATACATACGTATAGTTAACCTCAATTGTATTGAAGCACTTAGGAAGGTTGATGAGCACAGTTTTTTCACAAATATTTTCTAATATTAATTAGTATTGATTTAAATATTCAATTTAAATCACTTCTGATTATAATTCAGACGCACTTATAAAATTCGCACTTGTATAATGAAAATAACTAGGTATATAATCTTTTAATTTAAAAAAATAATTAAAACTCCTTTATTTGTTTAAAAGGTAAATGTCATTGTCAGATGTTATGGTCATTCAATATTCTTGGCATAGCTGCTAACTTCACGTATAAGTGTTTACACGTGTTTCGGATATCATTATTTAGTATTTTCTATTGTTTCTCGTAGTTTAATGAATATAAGTTGACTTATCCTATTGGTGGTGGTTAATTAATAACATCAACTAATTACGTAAGTTATTTTTATTTATTTGTTATATTTCTCCCTTTACCTTGTTATATTTTTGGTAGTCTATAATGGAGAAACGCCCTCCAGACCCCCCTGATCCTCCGGATAGGGTCTCTTCTCCGGTGGAATCAATGGATTTATCCACCCCACTGTTGCCCCAACCTGGTGTCAAGCGCAGACTTGATACTGTCAATGAATCTTTAGTGGAACCTTCCAAAAAACCAATGACTGATGTCCGGTCATCTGTTGATGACGTCAACCCAGGATTTTACTCCCATCCATCTCTCACTGGCTCTCCCAAGTCATACCTTGTCAATGACAAGGGCCCTTTTTTAGTCCATGTTTCTTGCCCTGAATCTGACCCATCCGCTGGT